AGTAGGGAGGCGGAGGCCCAAAGTTGGGAGACTGAGGAAGATGCACTTAGTAGGACAAAGTGATTTGAATTAAGACTGGGCTATTCTAGGAACAAGAGCATCCATTGTCCTTCTCAGAGTGAGCATTGCTCCCCGTGGGAATGTATTTGTGCACTGTTTCTTCAGGACAGCAATACTTAGTCCACCCACAGGCCTTTTCAGCAAAGTCATGCTCTCTTGAAAGCCAGTCACCTACAGCAAGCTAGGCTCCTGATTCCTTAAGTTAAAAGGAAGAGGAGAAAAGAGTGAGAAGAAGAGTCAGAAACAACTTTCTGGGAATTTGAGAAAAAGCAGAGAAAACAATAAATCCAAGAGAGAAAATGTGGCTAACAAAGGAAACGGGCATTTCTTAAGTGCTCACTAGGTGCCAGGTCCTGTTCTGTATGGAGTTTGTGTCTTAAATCAGCATGTCAAAAATCACAGAGTCAGAATTATCCTTTAAATAGGCACTCTTTAAACTGCTCATGAAGTGTATGGGGCAGAAGCTTTAAACATAGGACTGTACCTGGAAAGAGACTAGGAAAATCCTAACTTCAGAAGCTTGATAATGAAGCCTTCCTCCCACCTATGGGAAGAAAACTGATGGAATAGATGTTTAGAATAAGACACATTTCAGACATGGTCAATATCTTGATTTTTCTTGGTTGCTTATACTTACCTTTTTCAGTGGGGCTCCAGGGGGGCTTCAAATTAGGAGGCAGTGTGCATTGGTGGAAATTGGTAGGGATTTAGTTCCATTGCTATAAGGTATTCTCATGAACAAACACCCTCTACCAGTGCAGGTCAAGACTTTCTCTACAACTTCTCATGTTAGAGAGTTGCCTATGGGACCAAATGGTTCAGTGTTGTGCCTTAGACCAAAGAGCAGGTATTTGTCAGAGGCTGAACTTGAACCCAGGCCTTCCTATTTCTCAAACCCCCTCTCTAGCCACTACGTGATGCTGCCTTTGGAGAAAGTGATAGCAATTAAGAAAAAAAATAGAGAATCAATAATACATTTAAAAATAAAATACATGAAAGAAAACAAAAACATGAGGACACTGAACAATTGAATTATTACCTTCTAAATGTAATACTGTAAAAAAATAACTGCATGGAATAAGAGTTTATGGCTGTATTCACCACCCTCTTTTTAGTATTCTTTATGAATCACAATGTTTGTGCTTGTGGGGTGATAAGTTCATAATTTTTAAAATGAAGAAGGAGGAAGAGGCAGAGAAGAGGAATGCAGCACCTCTAGTCTGTACAGGAAAGCAATCTGCCTCAGAGAAGGGATGGAACAGAGAGAGGTGCTATGGAGACGGATCACCTACATTTTATTATACAAAGTTCCCAGCCAAGCTCTGGATAAGGAATGGGTGAAATATATTCATGTATGACTGTGTGTCTGTGTGTGTTGTGTGTGTGTGTGTGTGTGTGTGTGTGTGTGTGTTGTGTCTTTTACAGGTGGAGGTAAGACATATTCAGATATAACCAAAAAATAAAAGTTAAGTAAAGACTTAACTGTCAGGAATTGATTATTTCAAAGAAGTACCCTTGGAAGTGCATCACCTGGGTCTGCATATAAGAAGTTGCTCATCCCACTACTTTATTCTTTCTTCTTGCAAGAAGACTACAAAGAAGGCAACTAGATGGTGTAGTGGATAGAGCACTAACGCTGGATTCAGGAAGACCTGAGTTCAAATCTTACCTCACACACTTGACAGTTACTAGCTGTGTGATCCTGGGCAAGTCACTTAACCCCTGATTGCCTCGCCCCCCCCCCCAAAAAAAAAGGGTGGGCAGCTTACAGATATTTGGTGTGCAGCACTGCATTTACTCATCTGGCCCAGAATGCTCACAAGCATCAAGCTTGGTTTGACAAAAATGAAGTAGAATTCAGAAGCTGCTAAAAGGAAAATTAGAACTCCACAAGGTTTACCAGCAGGTTTACCATCCATCTCTAAGAAGGAAGCATTGAACTTCATCAGAAGTAAAGCACAAGCAAAGCTTAGAAAGATGCAAGATTCTTGGCTCAGTCAGAAGGCAGATGAAATTCAGTTTGATGCTGATAGTAGCAATCCAAAGTGCTTCTGTGATATTCTGAAGGCTATTTATGGGCCAAGACCTATGCTGCATTTCAACTACTCAGTGCTGATGGAGCCACACTGATTTGTGTTAAGGATGTGATCTTGGTGAGACAGGCTGAACAATTCCATGGTATTCTCAGTAGACCACAGTCAATCAATGATGAAGCCAGTGACCATTTACCTCACATTGAAGTCAGCCTCTCTGTAGCCAAATTTCCAGCTGAAGAAGTGGTTTTAAACGTCATTAGGCTCCTCTTGTGTGGCAAAGTGCCTGGTGCTTTTTTTTATTCCAGCTGAGATTTACAAGGGAAGGCGTCCACTGCCCATACAACAGCTAACTGAACTTTTTGGGGTTATACGACAAGAGGAGGTAATTCCTCAGGGGTTCAAGGATGCCTCCACTGTCCATCTCTATTCAGGGAAAAGAAATAGCCTGGCCTACGAAAATCACACGGGGGTCTCTCTCTTAGTTATTGCCAGCAAAATCCCTGGTAGAGTCCTCCTCAATAGGCTAATTCTTTACCTGGAAGATGGTCATCTACCTGAGAGTCAGCGTGGCTTCAGAAAGGACCAAGAAATGGTCAGCATGGTGTTTGCTGCCCAAGAGCTCCGGGAGAAAAGCCAGGAGCAGAACAGAGGTGTATATGCAGTGTTCATTGGTTTCACCAATCAAAGCCTTTGATACTTTCTGTCAGTCATGAAGGCTTGTCGAAATTATGGGATTTGAACTTGGGTCTTACTGAATCCAGGGCCAGTGCTCTATCCACTGCACCACCTAGCTGTCCCCAAATGGAGAAATATTGAATAAGTTCACTCACCTGTGCAGTGTACTTTCAGAGATGTACACATAGAAGATGAGATTGACATACCCATTGCCAGAACTAGCTCAGTGTTTGGGAGGCTCATAAGGAAAGTGTGAGGAAAAAGAAGTACGGGAATGTCTAACAAACTGAAGGTCTACAGAGCTGTTGTGCTGACCTCATTGTTGTATACCTTTGAAACCTGGACAGGATGCCAATGACATGCCATGAAACCAAATCACTTACATTTGAATTGTCATTGGAAGATCTGAAGAGAAATTGGCAAGATAAAGTACCCGGCACTAAGATCCTTTCTCTAACTGAACTGCCAAGCATTCAAACTGTCCTGCAGAGAATGAGACTCCAATTGGCTGGCCATGCTTTTTGAATGCCAAACACATGTTTACCTAAAAGACTATTGTTTCGAGAACTCACACAAAGCAAGTTCTCGCATGAGGTCAAAAGAAGCCATACCAAGGACACTTCTAATGTCTCTCTGAAGAACTTCGGAATCACTTGTGTGACATGGGAGACATTGGCAAAGGACCAACCCACATGGTATATCTCTGTCAAAGAAGGCACTGCGTTCTGTGAGCAAAGCAGAATTGCAGTAGCTCAAAAGATACGAGATGCACAAATTTAGAGACATCTCCACTCCACATGTTCATGTGGACTATTTGTACCTAACTTGAGGTAGAGCTTTCCAAGCTCATATTGATCTGATCATTCACAGTTGAATACACTGTACCTTGACTCCAATAGAGTGATGTCATTTTGGTCCTCTTCAAGAATGATGGACAAGGACTACCACCACATCTCACAAGTAATTTCTTTCTTGATTTTCTAATTTCTGCATGTTGTCACTCAGTGCGTCTAAGTCATACCTATTTGGAGTTTATTTTTATATGTGGTATGAGAAGTTGATCTATAAATAGTTCACGCCAAACCGCTTTCCAGTTTTTCAAAAAGTGTGTGTTAAATAGGAAATTCTTACCAAATAGATAGGTCATTGGGATTTGTCAAACAGTAGGTTACTATGCTTCTGTATATTTTGTGTGCAATTTCTTACACTGATTAATCTCTCTATATTTTTAGCTGTTATTTGTATTTTATTTTTCTCTAGTTACATGTAAACAATTAACATTCATTTTTAAAACTCTGAGTTTGAAATTCTCTCCTTTCCTCCCCCTACCATTGAAAAGACAAGCAATTCCATATAGGTTATACATATGTAGGCATGCAAAACATATCCATAATAGTCATGTTGTGAAAGAAAACATAGACAAAAAAACCTCAAGAAAAATAAAGTTCTTAAAAAGTGTGCTTCAATCTGTGTTTACACACCCATCAGTTCTTTGTCTAGGGACGGATATCATTTTTCGTCATTAAGTCCCGCAGAATTGTCTTGGACCAGTGTATTGCTGAGAGTAGCTAAGTCATTCACAGGTGATGATGTTACAATATTGCTGTTACTTTGTACACAGTACATTTCACTTTGCATCAGCCCATGCAAGTCTTTCCAGGTTTTTATGAGAGCATCCTCCTCATAATTTCTTACAGTACAATAATATTCCATCATAATCACACACCACAACTCATTCAGCCATTGCCCAAGCGATGGGCATCCCCTTAACTTCTCATTCTTCACTCCCAGAAAAGGGCTGCTGTAAATATATATATGTATATTTTTTTTAACACATACGTCCTTTTGCTTTTTGTTTTTTCTCTTTTGGGATCCAGACCTAGCAGTGGTATTGCCAGGTCAGAGTTTCATACAGTTGTCGGTATGGCGTAGGGAAGACCTGAGTTAAATCCAAGTTCCGGCACTTGCTAGAGTTTCCACATCTATAAAATGGGCACCATAATAGCACCTGCTTCCCAGGGTTTGTGTGAGGACCAGGTGAGACAGTCAATGTAAAGTACTTAACGGTGCCTAGAACAGCGTAAGCTCCGGGTATAGCTCTTAGTTTTATTTAGTCCATCTACCAAAGAACCGTCAGTCATGAGGTAAGGGGACGAGCGGAGGGGGCGGGGCTAATAGCAGGAAGGTCCGGGAGGGGCGGGCAAACAAAGAGGCAGGACCGCATTCCAGGCCGGGGGAAGAGCCGGGCCCCAGGCATGCGCAGAAGGAACCTCAGCCTCGAGACTACGATTCCCAGAAGGCCGTGCTCGCTTCAGGGGCATTATCCAAGCTCAAGGCCGGGAGGGAGTGCCTTCTTACTACGACACTTCCGCTTACTTTTCCCTCCACCTCTTCCATGCTTGCTGTTTCTCGCTTCCCCTTCTCTGTGGTGGGCTGAAGTGTGTGTGACAAGGTGAGCGGGGTCCGGGAGCGGGGCCAGGCCCAGGCGGAGCTGGCTGCGGGGGTGCGGCGGGGTCGGAACACCGGGGGCTGGCTGGAGAGCACCCGGAGAATGGGAGGAGTGTGCGGCAGAGGAGGAAGGAGGCCCCCGAGGGGCTCCCAAGGGTCTGGGGGCTGCCCGTGGGGGGGGTTGAAGGCCGGGGGTTGGAGGCCAAGCTGGCCGAGGAGGAGCCTGGGGCCGGGGTTTAATTCTCCCTCAGTCACGCCCGCATCCCGTGACCCTGGTGAGGGCCTGCCCCTCGGGGCCTCTGTTCTTGCCCCTTGCCCAGAGTCCCAGGGAACGTGCTCCCGGTGTGTGGGTGTCTGGTTCTCACTCCTCCTCCCAGCATCCTCCTGGTTAGCCCTCCTCCGGGAAGCCTTCCCTGATGCTGCCTGGGCCCGTGCCCTCCCCCTGTTGAAAGGGTCATCTGTTTGTCCTCCACTTTGTGTATAAGGAGATGCTGTACTCCATGACCGCTTCCTTCAGGCTCCCTCCCATCCCCGCCCCCAGCCCGTCCTCGTCACTGATCTCCCCGCAGTGGAGAAGTGGGAACGTCTGGTCTGAGCAGGGTGACCCCTCACTCTCCTGCTTCTCCTTTCCTCCCCAGCTCTCCCTTCTGTGCGTCTGCTCTGCCCAGGAGGACAGCCTGGAGGAAGAGGGAATGGCTCTGCCCACACAGCCACGCCGGGAAGGTGAGTGCACTTGCTGTTTTCAAATAGCATCTTAGGCAGAGACCGTGGGATAGGTTTTTTGTCCTGTGTTGTAATACTAGAAATCGTGGGCATCAGAGGAATCATAACCACAGACACCACTGCATCCTCTCCCCACACAAAAAAAGACCTAATTACGTTTACTTTAGTTTTATGGAAATGGAGAATAAGGGAGCAATCCTTGAAGGAGGGACAGGTTAAGTAATTGGAGGGCAAGGTGTGGAATGTAAGTAAAGTAGAAGAGTTAGGAGGGATAGGAGATGAGAGAGAGCACAAACGTGAGACCAAAGATCAGAAGAAGAATTTGTTACAGAAAGTGTATGTTCATGCATGTTCGTGTATATCTATATATAAATGTTTCTGTGCTTAATTATATCCTGGGCAGGAGATAAAGATGGAAAAAAAAACAAATAAAAAGTGCACAGCAGAGAACAAAAGAAAACCAACGAGGAAGCAAACCAGAGATGAACAGCACACTGCACTAAGTGTGGTATTTATTTTATGGGCTTCTTGAAATGGAAATTTGTTGCTATATATTTTGAATCTTACATTTTGCTGTGCCTATGACTTGCATTTTTCCCCTTTCTTATTTTGTATTTAAGTGAAAATATTTAAGTTAGTAATATGTTATGTTATTTATATTTATATTTGAATAATTAAAAAGGAAATAAATGGGGAACAGCTGAACATACTATGGTATGTGGTAAGTGATTATGAGGAAATACTTGTGGTATAAGAAATGAAGAGCAGGATGCTCTCAGAAGAACCTGGAAAAACCTACATGAGTTGATAGAAAGTGAAATGTGTACAAAGTGAGAGCGATAATATAAGATGATCAGCTGTGAGTGACCTAGCAATTCTCTGTAATATACAGTGATCCAAGACAACTCTGAAGGACTTATGATGAAAAATGCTATCCATCTGTGGAGAAAGAACTGATGGTATCTGAATACAGACTGAAACATACTTTTTAATCTTAATTTTTCCTGAGGTGTTTTTTTTTTGGTCTCATTTTTCTTTCACATCACTAGAAATGTATTACCTATATCAAATTGCTTGCCTTCTCAGTTGGGCGGGTAGGAGGGTGGGAAGAGAGAAAGAGAAAGAATTTGAAGTTCAGAGTTTTAAAAATGAGTATGAAAGGTTGTTTTTACATGTAATTGGGGAGAAAATAAATTTTATTGTATTAAATTTTTTTTTTTTGGTGAGGCAGTTGGGGTTAAGTGACTTTCCCAGAATGACATTGCTAAGTGAGTGTTATGTGTCTGAGGCTGGATTTGAATTCAGGTTCTCCTGACTCCATGGCAAGTGTTCTATCCACTGTGCCACCTAGCAGCCTCCTGAAAATAATACATTTAAAAAATTTAATATAATCAGAATTACATGTTTTACACCTCACACTACTCTTACCTGTTGTTTATTCATAAATTGTTTGCCTATCCATAATTCTGATATGTTTCATGTTTCTAATTTTCTTGTTGTATCTCTCTTTATATGTAGTTGATGTATCCATTTGACACTTATCTTGGTGAATGATGTAAGAGACTGATCTATGCCCGGTTTCTGCCATTCTGCTTTCCAGTTTTCCCAAGAATTTTTAGCAAATAATGAATTCTTTTTTAAATTTTTGTTTTAAAATTTTTAGTCAGTTGGGGTTAAGTGACTTGCCCGGGATCCCACAGCTAGTAAGTGTCAAGCATTTGGTCTGAGGTTGGATTTGAACTCAGGTCCTCTTCACTTCAGGGCATGTGCTATATCTATTGTGCCATCTAGCTGCCCCCAAATAATGAATTCTTATCCCTGTACTTTAAGTCTTTACCCCTGTCAAATACAAGGTTATTCTATTTATTTGTTACTGTAAATTGTATGTCTGTTCTGTTCCATTTATCTACCTTTCTCTTTCTTAGCCAGCACCAGGTTGTTTTGATAATTACTTCCTTACAATATAGTCAGAGTCTGGCAGAACCCTCCTTTCTTGACATGTTTTTCATTAGTTTCTTTGACATTCTTGACTTTTTGTTCTTCCAAATACATTTTGTTTTTTTTATTTTAATTCAGTAGAATAAGTTTTTTGTAATTTAATTGGGATAGTATTGAATATATAAATTAGTTTAAATAAAATTGTCATTTTTGTCACGTTGGCCCTGTCTACCGAGGAACAATTAAAATTCCTCCAAATCAGTTCAAATCTGATTTTATTTATATAAAAAGTTTTTAACCATTCTATTTATGTGGCTCCTGGATTTGTTTGGGCCGTTGTGCTCCCAGGTATTTTATATTGTCTAGAGTTATTTTAAATGGTGTCTCTTTTACTATCTCTTCTTGCAGGGTTTTGTTTATGCTATGTAGGAATGCTGATGAATTAGGTGGATTTACTTTATAACCTGCTGCTTTTTTAATTATTTTAACTAAAGTGAGTGGGATTTTCCAAGTATATCATCATGTCATCTGCAAACAGAGATAGTTTTATTACCTAATTGCCTATTCTGATTCTTTCTATTTCTTTTTCTTCTCTTATTTCTGTTGCTAGGATTTCCAATACAATACTGAAAAATCTTGGTAACAGTGGACATGCTTGTTTCACACCTGATCTTCCTGGGAAGACTTCTAGCTTATCTCTATTACAAATAATGCTTGCTGGGGCCACTAGGTGGTGCAGTGGGTAGAGCACTGGCCCTGAAGTCAGGAGGACTTGAGTTCAAATGTGACCTCAGACCAAACACTTGAGACATACTAGCTGTGTGACCCTGGACAAGTCACTTAACTCCAATTGCCTAAAAAAAAAAACCCTAGAAATAATGCTTGCTGATGTTTTAGATAAATGCTTTTTATCAATTTAAGGAAAAATCCATTTAGACCCAAGACTTTCAGTGTTTTAAATAGAAATGAATGTTCTTCATCAAAAGCTTATTCTACTTCTATTGATAGCGTCATGTGACTTTTAAAAACTTTTATTGTTAATATAATCAATTATTTTAATAATTTTCCATATGATAAATCATCTCTGCACTCCTGGTATCAATCCCACGTGATCATGGTGTATAATCTTCAGGATGTATTGTTGTAATCTTTCAGCTAGTCTTTTATTTACGATTTTTGTATCGATATTCATTAATGAAATTGGTCTAATTTTTTGTCTCTGTTTTTGCTCTTCTTGATTTTGGTGTCAGTATCACATGTCTTTCATAAACGGAGTTTGGTAGGATTTCTTTTTTGCCTATTCAAAATTATTTAATAGTGGAGTCAGTTGATGTTTAAATGTTGGATAGAATTCACTTGTAAATCCATCTGGTCCTGGTGCTTTTTTCTTGGGAAGCTTATTTATGGTTTGTTCAATTTCTTTTTTAAAGGAGGTGTGTTTGGATATTCTATTTTCTGTTAATCTAGGCAATTTATATTTTTGTAAATATTCTTCCATTTCACTTAAATTGTTAAATTTATAGGCGTATAATTGGACAAAATAACTTTTTTTCCTAAATTTTATTAATTTATTTTGATTTATCAACAATCACTTCCATATGCTTTTGAGTTTAAAATTTTCTGCCCCTTCCTCCCCACCATCTTCTCCAAGACTGCGCACAATCTGATATAGGCTATACATTTACATTCCTATTAAACATATTTTCACATTAGTGAAGTGGTAAGTAAAAATTAAAACCAATAGGAGGAACCATCAGAAAGAGGAAACAAAACTCAACAGAAGGAAAAAAATGATAGCATTCAACTTCCATAGTTCTTTCTTTGGATGTGGACAGCATTTTCCATCAAGGCCTCTGGAGATGTCTTAGATCCTTGTAATGCTGAGAAGGGTTCAGTTTAACAATATTAGTCATCACACATGTGGCTGTTATTGTGTACAAAGTCCTCTTGGTTCTGCTCACTTCACTCAGCATCAGACCATATAAGTCTTTCCAGGTTTTTCTGAAGTCAGCCTGTTCATCATTTCTTATAGCACAATAGTATTCCATTACATTCATATACCACAACTTGCTCAGCCATTCCCCAATTGATGGGCATCCTCTCAATTTCCAATTCTTTGCCACCACAAAAAGAGCTGCTATGAATATTTTTGTACATGTGGGTCCTTTTCCCATTTGTTTGATCTCTTTGGGATATAGCCCTAGAAGTGCTATTGCTGGATCAAAGGGTATGCACATTTTTGTAGCCCTTTGGGCATAGTTCCAAATTGTTCTCCAAAATGGTTGGATCATTTCACAACTCCACCAACAATGTATTAGTGTTCCAATTTTCCCACATCTTCTCCAACATTTATCATTTTCCTGTTTTGTCATGTTGGCCAATCTGATAGGTGTGATGTGGTACCTCAGAGTTGTTTTGATTTGCATTTCTCTAATCAATAATGATTTAGAGCATTTTTTCATATGACTATAGATGGCTTTAATTTCTTCATCTGAGAACTGTCTGTTCATATCCTTTGACCATTTATCAATTGGGGAATGGCTTGTGTTCTTATAAATTTGTCTTAATTCTCTATATATTTTAGAAATGAGGCCTTTATCAGAGAGACTGGTTGTAAAAATTCTTTCCCAATTTTCTACCTTCCTTCTAATCTTAGTTGCATTGGCTTTGTTTGTGCAAAAACTTTTCAATTTAATGTAATCAAAATTATCCATTTTGCTTTTCATAATGTTCTCTATCTCCTGTTTGGTCATGAATTCTTCTGTTCTCCATAGATCTGATAGGTAAACTATTCCTTGTTCTCCCAGTTTACTTATGGTATCAGCCTTTATATCTAAGTCATGAACCCATTTTGACTTTATTTTGGTATATGGTGTGAGATTTGGGTCTATGCCTAGTTTCTGCCATACTCTTTTCCAGTTTTCCCCGTAGTTTTTTTCAAAGAGTGGGTTCTTATCCCAGAAGCTGGGGTCTTTGGGTTTATCAAATAATAGATTACTATAGTCATTGACTATATTTAACCTATTCCACTGATCCACCTCCTATTTCTTAGCCAGTACCAAGCAGTTTTGATGATTGCTGCTTTATAATACAATTTAAGATCTGGAATTGCTAGGCCACCTTCCCCTGCATTTCTTTTCATTAGTTCCTTTGATATTCTAGACCTTTTGTTTTTCCAAATGAATCTTGATATTTTTTCTAACTCTATAAAATAATTTTTGGTAGTTTGATTGGTATGGCACTGAATAAGTAAATTGGCTTAGGTAGGATTGTCATTTTTATTATATTAGCTCGGCTTACCCATGAGCAACTGATGTTTTTCCAATTATTTAGATCTGATTTTATTTGTGTGAAAAGTGTTTTGTAATTGTGTTCATAGAGTTCCTGGGTTTGTTTTGGGAGGTAGACTCCTAAATATTTTATAATATCTACAGTAAGTTTAAATGGGATTTCTCTTTCTATCTCTTGCTATTGGGTTTTGTTGGTAATATATAGAAATGCTGATGATTTATGTGGGTTTATTTTATAGCCTGCAACTTTGCTAAAGTTGTTTATTATTTCAAGTAGTTT